GATTGATCTTAATTCTTAGAATATTTTTGTATCTGTTTGAGTTTATTCTTGCATATACTTTCAAGCTATTCATATAAGTTGATCAGTCTCATGATTAGTTTACATGCACACACTAGGTAAAAATTGGTAAATCAATTTAGATTATGAATCTGTATCGTCTAAAGTGGTTTGGACATGTATGACACCTATCCAATAAACGCCTACTTCAACATCCAATGTTGATTGGAGTAGGAGTAACTTGAAATAAAGCGTGTTGAATTAAGTTGTGTAAATAGGTTCAGACTACCTGATTTCAGTCCTTATGATAATCATAACCAATTGTGAATGTTAGTTGACATAGGTTAGAATCGGTCACTCTGTGGCACAGAATCATTCACACTTTGTCTTTTGTTAAAACTTAAGTTATTCTATGTTTTCTATTTTACAAATTCATTCTATTATGACTGATTCTGTCTTGATAATTTCATTTCTCTGTGTTCATGTTGTGTGAGAACTTAAACTAAATAGACATTTGTTCCAGGCTCTAGGCTGCTTAAGACTGACTTGCTTTTCTGTAAGTTTTGTGGAATATTTCACATCGAATATTTCAGTATATTGTAGTTTGGAAGTTGGACTTTGTTCATCTTTCGGAAACCCCAGAGGTTATCATCTATATTTTTCTGATTTTTTAATTAAGACCTCCTTATCCAGTGGTGTAAGCATCAAGTACTTGTTTCAGCTCCTTTTTTTGTTGAAGGAAGCATAAACATGTGATTGAAATGACAACGTGAAGATAAGAGATAATTGTAACTATGTTAACAGTGTAGAATAGGTAAGCCTCAAACACTGAATCTAATATGTATATCAATAGCCATACTGAATAGTCTTCAGATAAGAATCCAACTATATACCAAAGTGTATTAAATGGCATACCCCCAAATGCCCTGGTACGGCCGAGAGTGGGAAGAGTCACCTCTCCCTCTCGAAATGCTCTCATACGGCTACGCGTATATAGCCTCTGCCAGAGAAGTCCTATTCACTGCCTTCTCACAGCATTACTGTTGTTTACGAAATTAAGAGGACGAAAAGCGAATGTCCGGCGCTTTAACCGGGTTGGTGAACACGGCAAGCCCACCTAGGGGAGTTGGAAAACCCTCGTTCCAAACCAATGGTGAACATGGGCTCTAGTACCCTGAAGGAACAAATGGCGTATAAATCAATGGTTGGTCACCGGCTACCATGGGACTGCATCTCCTTACGGTGCTCCATTGCCTTGTGGATCAGACCTTTAGGTCAAAGACTCTGGGTGTGGCCCCTTAAGAAAATCACCTGCTTCAGTTTTGGCACCTGGACGGTTTCGCACAAATGAAATGAGATTTGTATGGCGCATATATATTTGGAGCCTCTATGTACCAGTATTTATGTGTTCAAATAAATAAATAATTAAATGGCATAAATCCATCATCATTTTATCTTAATAACCATGTAGAAAAGGTTACTAGATTTTATTTCCTCCTTTCTCTTAAAAAACAAACAAACTGGCTACTGGTTTGTTTTTTCTGTTCCTATTTATCATTAAACAAATTTTTTTTTATTTTTACCAAAAGTAAACTAAACAACGACTATTTGTTATAACTATACTGATATTTCTATCTAGTTTACTGGCAACGATTTTCGATAATCAATCATTATCATGTCTTTGTTGTTGTTGGTGGTGGTGGTGATGATGTTTTCTCCTTTCTTTCTTTTTGTCAGCAAGATAGTAATCCCTTTCAATGATTATCTGTTGCAATAAAGTAAACTAAACGACAATTCACTCTCTCCATTCTTGTTTAATTCTGTCGTTGACAAGCTTTTAGAGATAACACTTTCATCATCTAAATCTTCAGGAGTTGAACTTTTACCGGGAGACTCACTTGTTGACTTAGAATACGCCGATGACAGTTCTATTTGGTGAAGACGTTGACAAAATGCAGAGTCTTCTGAACACTATAAGCACCACCGCAGTCATGTTCGGGATGCGATTCTCTCCCTCGAAGTGCAAAATGTTACTTCAGGATTGGGTTGTATTGACACCCTCACTAATGATAGGGAGTGAAGTACTTGAGCGTGTTGACCACTTCACTTATCTTGGGATTCTCATCAACCCTTGTAGTCTAGTGTTTGACGAAGTTTCAGCACGGATACAGATGACTCGTCTAGCTTTTGCCAACTTGCGTCATTTATGGCGTAGGTGAGATATCCGTCTAGCAACAAAAGGACGGTTTTTTCTGTGCAACAGTTAGTTCCGTCCTACTTTATGGCAGTGAAACATGACCGGTAAATGTAGAGGATATTCGTAGGCTGCTAGTATTTGATCATAGATGTCTTCGAAGCATTGCTCGTATATCCTGGGACCACCGAGCAAGTAATGCAGTTATTAGGAAACCGGTACTAGGTGAGGATGGCAAATCGATTGATGAAGTAGTGAAACTTGATCAGTTGAGATGGCTGGGACACATGTATTACGTATGCCCAACCACCGACTGCCATGACGTGAGATGTTTTATGGTGTAGGAGTAGGTTGGAAGAAAGATAGGGGTGGCCAGACCAAAACGTGCCATAAATCCATGAAGTCAGTGACAATTGAACTGAGCCATGTTGGTAGGTGTAGACTACCTGGTTGGGATCCGAGAGATGATAACAATCGATGGTTAGAGACCTTGAATGACATGGCTCAAAATCGTTTGCAATGGCGATGGTTTATCCACTTTTTGTTTTCTCTCCAAATTCTAATCTTCTTAATTCTTCATGTCCCTTTCGTTTTTCTCTTTCCAAATATTTTTCACTGTATAATACTCCTTGAATAACGTCTTCAAACCCTAATCTTTCCAGCTGCTGCTTATACTCTTGCTACTTCTACCACTATGGAATTTGAATCGACAACTGCGTCTCTGTGTTAATGTGGTATGGCAACTCTAACCGATGTACATATGTACGTACGAAGTTCCACGTTGTGATTGACTTGTTTAAAATCTATAATCCGGTACATATAAATACATAGAGAGGAAAAATTTACATTTGTCTGGATATATGTACTTTTGTAATATGTATTTGTGCATATATTATTAATGTGTAAATAACTCATAATATGTATTGACTTAATTTTTGTGTGTTTCTATAAAAAGAAAATGAAACAGTTCACTCTTTATTTCCTTTATATGAATTTAGGCTTATGCATATTATGTATTGTGAATTAATTTTAATAGTTTAAAAAAAAATAACACTAAACATTAGGAAAGTTTTAAATATACCAACTAACTTTATAAACCAGATACATATGCACCACACAAATCTCATTTGATTTGTTTGAGGGTTGTGATACTACCCGGGTTTGATGGAGTTTTCTTCTCTGAGCTGGATAGTTTGGTCGTGGAGCTTTCATCATCCTTCACTTTTACCCGAAGTTTGTGCTGGTGATGTCGTTCAGAAGGAAGGACCAAATCATTCAGTTCAGAGAACAAAATTCCATCAAACTCGCCCAAACTGAAGCAGGTGGTTTTCTTGGGGGGGGCACACTCGGAGAATTTGACGCAAAGATCTCATTCACAAGAAGGTGGAGCAACGTAAGGAGATGCAGTCCCATGGTAGCCTGTCACCAACGATTGATTCATACGTCATTTGTTCCTTCAGGGTCCTGGAGCCCATGTGCACCATTGGTTTGGAATGAGAGTTTTCCAACTCCCCTAGGTGGGCTCGCCGTGTCCACCAACCCGGTTAAGGCGTCGGACATTCGCTTTTCGTTCTCTCAATTTCGTAAACAACAGTAATGCCACAAAAAGTCAGTGAATAGGACTTCCCTAGACGAGGTTATATACCCAAAGCCATGTGAGCGCATTTCGAGAGGAAGAGCTAATTCTCTCCAATTTCAGCCGTACCGTAGCTACAATGTTACTGTTATCAAATCTCAAGTTAACAATACGAAAGTTTGACTAAATCATTATATGACATTTACATTTAAATGTAGTTTTTTTGGTTTCGAAGTTTTAGTTTTCAATAATATCTCAGTAAAATTAGTCTATAACCTCAAGTTAATCTATATGAGTATAGTTTCTAGGTCGATGTAGATAATTAAGTTGAAATGTTCTATAGGGTTGTTTACAAATAGCTTTTAAAGTGTATAGAATTAGTAGTTTAATAGTTAGAAGCATTCAGTATTTAGTTAAATGACTTATAGGTTCATACGTTGCTCCACCTACTCTGGTATTTACTGGTAAATCGTATCAAATTAAGCTTTACAGTGTTTTTAAGTGAATTTAGTAGGATTAGACAAGTAATTTGGATAGTCTTTTACGCATTATACTTAACAACATCTTCATCGACTAAGATGGTTGGGCCATGTGTTACGTATGCCTGAACACCGATTACCACGACGCACAATGCTGACTAGTATTGGGGATGGTTGGAAGAGAGTTAGGAGCGATCAAACCAAAACGCGGCATCAGTGCTTGAAGTCACCAACTTCTAGTCTGCGCTATGTTGGTGGATGTAGACTACTTGGTTGGAGTCCGCATGACTATGGTAACCAACGGTTGGAGACTCTAGGTGACATGGCTCAGAATCGATCACAATGGTGTAGGTGTATGCACTCTTTATCTTCCCTTAAACCGTGAGATTAAAATTGCTTCATAGCTTTTCTCCTTCCTATACTATATCCTTATATACAACCTATCTTTTACATACTACCACCACTAAATCAACTATTTCTATAAATCCGGTGTTGATCTTGTTGTGCTAACGAGGTATGGTATCTTGGACCGATGCATATATGTGCCTGGTCCTACATTGTAGCTGACTGACTAGCATAATCTAAGTTCTCTTAAATATTGATCATGGTACTTTATTATAAATTTCGCAATGATTTTCACTTACCTGAGGAATTATCACAGATTTCTTTATATATATATATATATATATATATATATATATATATATATATATATATTTAATTTTTTATGTATGGAAATTTCTTTTGTTCATAGAGCTTTACGAATACTTGGCATGCGTAGTTACAAGCCACCAGTACTTCGAAATAAATCATTATGGTAAGTGAAAATGTGTTTTATCAGAAGGGGTTTTGTGTAGATTTAGTATTTTCATTGTTGAAAGCGTGAGTCCATTGAAGCTAGACCACCATGGAAAACCTGAAAGCACTGGACGGCCGTTTCGTCCTATTGTGGGACTCCTCAGCAGTGCGCATCCACGACCTCGCCTTGCGAGATTCGAACCCAGGACCTACCAGTCTCGCTCCAGAGCACTTACACGATAGATCACTAAGCCGGCATCCGATAGTGTTTATGTCTAACTCCAACCAATCCACGAAGTTCAGGAACCGTTCTCCAATTGTCTTCAGTGGGTTCCTATCTCACAAAAGACGTGGTTTTAACTTCACTGGTCACTGCTTCTCGCGAGGCGAAGTCGTGGATGCGCACTGCTGAGGAGTCCCACAATAGGACGAAACGGCCGTCCAGTGCTTCCAGGTTTCCCCTGGTGGTCTAGCTACAATTGACTGACGCTTTCAACTATGAAAACTTATTTGTTTGTTTTCATTTTATTGAAGGTTTTACAAAGTACTAATCATAATCTAACATTTTGTTCTGTGCTATTTTATTCACTTTTCAATTATTCTTATCGGATTTGAATAATCCCGTGATTTTTTTTGTTCATGACCTATTGATTGAATAATTGAGTTCTGTAATATCAGCTTTAAAGTTACAACTGTTTGTAATTTCCACCATACATCACTTTGATTCCTAGTTATTGTTCGGGATGTTAGATCCCCAAAACTCATCTAGCAAATGTTTTTTTCTTCAATTTTATTTTGGAAATTTGAATCTGTTTTCGCGCCAAAAGCTCCCATCTTCACTTTTATGTTCTACTTCCCACTTGGGAGGACCTTAAATATCATTGGTCCATTATCTCTTTTAATATGCTATTTTGTAATGTTTCCCAAGGACACTTTTATGCTGTATGTATATACGTTTAGATTGTACTTGTGGTTGTTGTTTGTGCTTGTGAATACATTTCCCTTTTCTGAATCTGGACATCTCTCTCAAGTTAGCGGAGCAGCGACTCATTGGAATAGCTAGCTTATTTGGTCATTGTATCGTTGAGTCTTTGTTCCATTCTCAGATTAAGTGAACTCGTAATCTCTTCAAACATAGCAGTTATTCATTTTTGCCAGTTCGTTGTAATATAGAATTTGTGATAACTAAGATTTTTTCAAGGATGGTTAGTTACGACCAGTTGAGTGAACATACTTCAATTCCAGATTCTCTAAGATTTCTCGTTCTAAAAGTTTTGCAGTATTCTGTAATCATACATGATATCATTACCTTATTTATTAGCTTATACTAATATTTTCTTGATGTCATCAATTGGTGATTTAAGTTTTTGATTAGCAAAGTAGAGGGTCGAATAATAATGAGAATAAAAAAGTTGTGTAAATTCAATAATCCTTACAAACTCCCAATACTTATTTATTTAAACTCATAAACATTGGTACAAGAAGGCACCAAATAGACAAGTGCCACATAAATCGTTTAATTTGTGTGAGGGCTGTGACACTTCTCAGATGCCCAAACCGAAGCAGGTGGCTTTTTAGGGTACCACACCCGCAGTCTTTGATCTGAAGGTCTAATCCACAAAGCAGTGGAATAACGTCAGATGTAGTTCCATGGTTGCCCTTAACCAACATTAGGTCCATACTCCATTTGTTCCCTCAGGATCCAGGAGCCCATTTGCACCATTGGTTTGAAATCAGGGTATTCCAACTCCCGTAGATTCATCCTCTGTATCCACCAACCCGGTTAAAGCGTCGGACATTCGTTTTTCGTCCACTCAATTTCGTAAACAACAGTAATGCTGTGAGAAGGCAGTGAGTAGGACTTCCCTGCCAGGGGCTATATAGGCGTGGCCTTGTGAGATCATTTCGACAGAGGAAGAGGGAGCTCTCCTCACTCTTGGGTGTACCAGAGCATTTGGGGGGGCAATGCAAATAAAAAACCATAATTCTCTCTATTGATATTACATCATTTTAGTATCATCGGTCCTTTTATTTCAAAAAACAATAAACAAACAATCTTACCAACTATATTTAATGTATATTTTTCAAGGCTTTCCAATAAATTTTTTATAGTTCCCTTAGGAATTGTAGTTTGTGCCCTACGTTTCTCGATTATTCACTTATTCACTGAATGATGTTTTACTTCTTTATTCAATAATAACAATAATTAACTTAGTATTACTTGTTTGAATCTTCCCATTGATGTTTAGGACTGCAAGTGGTCAGTATCTTATTGGACATATATGCATACTATGCGTATTCCCTCGATATAGTCTTATTTCATAAGCGTTGTAAGCAAAGATGTATAGTGGCTAACGGTGGACGAAACGCGCGTCCTGGATTCCACTGCTAGTCACTATCCATCTTTGCTTACAATAATAATAATAATACTATTATTACCATTAATAATAATGATAATAATACATTTCAATTCTTTCTGGTTAGCGTTTATTTAGCGAGTTGGTTTTCTTCGGGACAGGGTCGCTAACCCCCATGCCCAACCCTCCTCCTTTACCCGGTCTTGGGACCGGCAGTAACCCCCAGAGGAGGAGCTACAGGCGGAGTTACATTTCGATTCTTATTTATCACTAAGAGAAAGATTCAATTCGATATTTAAGTTTTATAGAATCGAAAAAAAAATTTTACTGTTTTTTTTTTCTGTTTGTTCGCTTGATTTTTTTTTTCTGATTAAATGTATCGTGTGATTTTAAGCTTCGTATATGATTTACAATTGAAAGGAGAACATTCTATGTTCTTGAAGTTGATTGAAATCATATGTCTTGTCTTTATTGATTTGATTATGAGTATATATATATATATATATATATATATGTTGACAATTGTTATCATATGTTGGAATTAAGTAGTATCAGAAGTAGTAAATTGTAGGCAGATGTAAAAAAAATCACCATCATCATCATTCGACAATTCGTACTTCATGTTTCTTAATAATTGATACTACTACCACTACTACTATTACTACTACTTCCACTATTACTACTAATAATAATAATAGTAATAACAAAAAAAAGATGATACCCTATTTATTTTTAGTTAATTAATTCATTTTTCATATTGTTATGTATGATTATTAGTTAGATTGATTATTGACGAAAGAAGTTGATATCTAAATATTATTTGGTTAGTTATAAAGTCTGTATGAATATGACTTGAATTGATGATTATAACATTGTTGTATTGTGATTTTGTTTGATTGATCACTATCCAGTGATCGATCATTTGTGATAACATCTTAGTTGTACAAGAGGTCGGTCGCGGCCTGGATAGCTCAGTCCCTTAAATGTCCTGGTACAGCCGAGAGTAGGGAGGGCCCTCCATCTCTCTCGAAATGTTTCACACGGCCACGCGTATATAGCCTCTGTCAGGGAAGTCCTACTCACTGCCTTCTCGTGGTGGAGGTGTGGTTCACGAAGTTGAGAGGACGAAAAGCGAATGTCCGACGCTTTAACCGTGTTGGTGGACATGGAAAGTCCCCCTAGGGGGCTTAGAATACCCTGACTCTAAATCAATGATGCACATTGGCTCCTGAATCCTGAGGGAACAAATGGAGTATGAATCAATTGTTGGTCACCGGCTACCATGAAACTTCATCTCCTGACGTTACTCCACTGCCTTATGGATTAGACTTTCAGATCAAAGGCTCCAGGCGTAAACTACCTGCTTCGGTTTAAGCACCTGGGTAGCATCACAGCCTTCACACAAATAGAATGATTTATGTGGCGCATATCTATTTTTTTTACCTCATTGTACCAATATTTATGTGTTTAAATCAATAAATTCAACTTGGAGAGGCCTGGTCTCATAAGCATAGAGTAAAAATGCGCACACGGACACGTTGTGGATCAGACCCTTTACAGCCAGACTAACGTGATATAGCGACTCTGACCTATCGTAATCCAGATCATTTCCAGTATTGAATAGCTCAAATTTCATCCCACTTATTATCATGTGTACTGGTGAATAGTCATAACTTGGTGTGAAGCAACTGTTTAATTTCCACTGATTCCATTGTTGTCATTAAGTGATGAAGATATTTTTTCACAATATACTTACTTACTTTCGCCTGTTACTCCCAATGGAGCATAGGCCGCCGACCAGTATTTTCACAATATAACTCTTTATATAAAATCTTATAGTAACCTGCTAGAATTAAAATTGGATCTATTAAATATCATGATCAAAATTCATTTTGTATATCTATGCATTGCTTATTTTAGTAAACAAATTTTATCTTCCCAACAAGCATATATATATATATATATACATATGCTGGCACTATAAAACAGCATATTGAAAGCAACTATTGTATGTATTCCATTTGCATGTTTGTTCAGTGTTTAAGAAAACCTTTGACAGACGAATACATTGTTTATTCAATTATATTACTTTAGTCAGTTAGATAAAATTATGGGTTTAGTATGAATGATTATTTAACTTAGTATTGACTTTTTTTTTTGATTTAGTTAATTCTATCATTCATACAGCTACCTATCACATGGTAACATGAAAATTTTTAAATTGCTACTATTATTACTACTGGTTAGTCATAATCAGTCAGTCAGTGATAATCGTGATAGAGCCTGATATAAATGTATGTTAATCGTAATATCGTCCTATTATATTAATAAAATGAATAGCTTAGGAGTCTAACTAATTAAAGTGGTCTTGAGTGCTGTTAGAGGTATGAGGGCAGTTATCACTTCCCGGTCGCCCACACCATGGAAGAGTTCTTCTAGACGTATCCGAAAAGGAAATTGGGTTAGAAGTGGTCTTAATGACCTGAGAACGTGACCGCAATGCCCAAGGGACAACTGCTTGAGGTCGGTCACACACGACATTTTTGTATGTAGTTTTTGTGTTAGCTCCGTACTTGTTGTGGGACCTTACCGCCGGAGACAGATATCCGTGGGATAAGGTGAGGTGTGCATTTTTAGGGTCGATCTTTTCTAACTCACGTCT